GACGGCAGTGGCGGCGGCCATGTTTTCGCCGGCGAGGGTTTGGCAAGCTTTCTCCAATATGCTTTGCATGTATTTGCCTTGAGCCTCAATCCTCAATTGAAGATGTCTTTGTACCTACAAATTAGGCTATTTATTACTACTTAATTTTTGTAATTTAAAATATTTTTTTTTATCTTAAACAAAATCTAATACCCGAGTTTTTAAATTTGTATCTAATATACCAAGAGATGCTCTAAAAACTTAATGACCCGAAAAATCCAATCAACCGGTTAGATTCGATTATTAACTTATTTGAGTTAAATTGAGTTCAAATAAATGAAAATTTTAATGGATTAGATTGGTTCGTGGGTTTCTGTAACCTTCTGAGTTAATCAAACTTTCATATAATTATATATACATATATTTATTTTAATTTATGTCTTCTAAATTTAATATTGAAATTGAGTGGCCGATCTTAAAAGGCAAACTTTTTTTTTTTTTTTTTTTTTGAATAAATGACTCAAACAATTAAAATCAATCTAATCTTAGGTATTTTATAGTTAGATTAGTTGCTTATTTAATGAAAGATATTAGCACGGAAAAAATTTAGAACCGGAACAACTGGATTTGATATAAGAAATGTCTTAACCGGCCCAACTCAATCCATAAACACTCCTTATACTCGACCAAAATCAGTATCATATTAATATGTTGCAAAATTAAATGATGGTCTGACCTCAATTTGTTCATGCAGCCGTCTCTGGACCTCCAATTGCATTCTAGCAGAAAAATAGGTTATTTGTTCAGTACGCTGTTTGTCAATTAGAGAATCCGACAACATTTGTCGGACAAGAAACCACAAAATAAAGTGTTCACTCTTAACCCCACCTTCTCTAACTATAAAATTTAAAAATAAATAAATCAATCAATAAATAAAAAAGGAAAAGCAAAAATAAATAAATAAATAAATAAAGAGGCTTACTCGTTCATGCTACGGTCCATTAAGGTGGAAGAAGATCCACTGTTTCTATGAAGTTCTAAGGCTGAAGCTGCAGAGATCATAATCATACACAAAATTCATAGATCAATTGAAATTAAGAACTATTAGAAGATGGAACGTTCATGAAACTCACCTCTCATGCCATCCTTTATCGATTGATCGTTGAATTCCTTGTGCGGTTGCTTCCCGAGCCTGAACTTCTGAACACGTTCCGAAAGAAAAGGAATGTTAAACTACCACTAAACTCAAAAGTTTCATCAACCCAGTAAAGAATTATGGAAAAGTAACACAAAACATGTATGGTGGTGTCGATGTTTTATCAAATTATTACTCAATTCAAAAGTTTAAGTCGATGGGTTATGATAAATTTAGTTTTTAAATATTACGGGATCGAGACCCGGGAGATGGAAATTACCTGAAGGTGGCTCTTGAGATGGTAGAGAGTGAGGCCCTTGACACCCATAACCCTCATGATGGTCTTGGGAGTGGCCTCTGAAAAGAGATATGAACCCTAATAAGGAGAAAGAAGAAAGAAAAAAAAAAACGAAGGTGAGAAAAGTGCATACTGTCAGGTCCTCCGAGCTGAGTGACAGCGTCGACGAAGCGCTCGTGGAGCTCGACCGTCCAGCGGAGACGGGGCTTGGGGTCGGTAGTGAGGACGAGACCCGAATCTCCTTGGACACACATTGGCCTGTCATGGGAAGATGTCATAGAGGAGGGTTTCTTGGTGGCATGAAACATTCTCAATTGTTCTTTGTTTTGGCTTAGGTTTTGGTTTGGTTTGGTTTGGTTTGGTTTGGTGTGTGTGTCTGGAAATGCTGAGGAGATTCAGGGGAACAAGGAAGGGAGGAGGAATAGGGTGCTTTTCTTTTTTTGCTTTTGCTTTGGTTTTTATTTTGCCATAGTCACCACAAACAACAGGGACACACTTTTGCCAAAAGATTCTCTCTCTCTCTCTCCTCCTTTCTCTCACATGAATTCTTTTTTAATTTCATTTTAGCCCTTTATAATGTTAAATTTACGAATAGAACCCTAGACACGCTTTAACTTTTTTAGCTATGTTCTGGTTAACTATTCTTAATAGTCTTTGTTTATAAGATATGAGGTTAACTATCATGGGAAGTTAAAACGTTCACTCTTTTACTTCATTTATTTCGTCATCATAAATTTATAAGTGTCCAAATCAGTAACTCAAAAATACTTATCACGTTTCTTAATCACGAAGCTCCGTTCTTCAACTCACGCTCGTTAAACTCGAAAGTTGATGGAAAAAGTAGACGGGTATTACTTTGTTCTTAGCTTAACAAGCTTATTTTGGTCCCGAGTCGAGTTGGAGCATCATTTTACTCACATAACGCTCCAACCTTACACTTATTAAACTCGAAAGTTGGTGAAAAAGTAGACGGGTTTTGCTTTACTCTTAGCTTAGCAAACTTATTTTAGTCCCGAGTCAAGTTGGGGCATCATTTTACTCGCATAATGCTCCAACCTCACACTCGTTAAACTCGAAAGTTGATGAAACAGTAGATGGGTATTGCTTTGTTCTTAGCTTAGTAAGCTTATTTTGGTCTTGAGTCGAGCTAGGGCGTCATATTATTAACATAACGGTAACCAAATACAGGGTAAATAGTTCGTTAGTCCTTTCTCCGACGCCTCTCATTCAAAGTGAATTTCTCGTGAGAAAAAGAACCAAAAGGGAACCCTCTTCATGTAATCATCACAAATGGTCCTTTGTCCTTTCCCATATTAATGCATTGCTGTGTTTTGTGTCGTACCACGGCTCACTTTTTAGCTTAATTATTTACAATCCCTCCAAACACTTTCCTATTATCATTTCATATTATCATTTTGAACTAGTTATATTCATTTTATACAAGTCCACCGCTAATAGATATTGTCTTTTTTAAGCTTTTTATTTTTAGTTTTCCCTCAAGGTTTAACTCGGTTGAAGTGTAATGATCATACGTCTGTAATGCATTGTATGTCCCATAATAGGACCCATTCTTCTACCATTTCCTGGAAGTCGATTATTCACAGCTATTACCTTGACACCAAAGAAGAGTTCACCCAATACTTTATTTTTGTCCTAGTTGATCCCGATTTGACATTAGAAGTATATTGATTTTTTCCCAATAACTGAGTACTTTTGTCTGTAAATACTGCATATTTGATTCCATCCATAAATTTTCTTCCCTATGAGTTTGAGTCTCAATACGAATGCTAGTTCTTACTGTTCATATGTTAAACACGTTTGTTTGAGAGAGCTTTCCACACCTTTGTAAAAATGTTTTATTCCTCTCTCCAACTGATGCGAGACCTCACACTACATCTCAACCATGTTGAATCATTGTTCAATTCAAAGTTAGTTCAAAACTGTGTTTGTTTTCTCATTCCTCTAAAAGGGGAAGACCAAAGAGGAAAATATCTGCTAGTGGTGAATCTGGGTCGTTACATTCATCCTTCTTGAAGTGATATTTGACTAAATCGTCCTAGCCCAAGTTTGGATCATATTCCTAACCGTTCGAGGATCAAAATCACTTTTGATCGATGTGGGTCGGCTTCAAAATGCCTCCATTAGTGCAATATGAGCTCAAATTCAAAAGGGTTTGAAGATTCAATGTTGTAGAACAAGAAACTAAGAAAGAAAAAGATCATAATTGGATGGATGGGATTGAAAGCTCCAAAAACAAAAGCAAGTTACAGACATGAATGGGAACTAATTCCTTTCAACTTTATGCTATTTGCTATTTGGAGTTGGTTGATTTGTTAGGTTCTTGTGAGAAAAATATAGAGCCTCTCAACATGAAAAGGCTCTGTTTTTTAATCAGCCATGGCAAACCCATCATGGTGGACCTAATTCCATTCCCTTTCTTTTCTCTACTAACCTCTAAAGTTTTCTCGTCCGGAATCAAAAATTTCACCTCCTTATTTCATCGCATTCTCTCCTATTGAAAACTCGAAAAATTTCAAAACCCTAATTAATATTCGTATAAATCAATTTACCCTCATCGATACCATTTTAAAATCTTTAACGCACAACTTTCACACATGCATAAAGACTTCTTTCAATATGATGATAGAATAAATAGCCGTGAAATCCTCTATGTTCTTTACTTGTTTAGGAAGAATTATGCAATAATATTACATTTAGGGGTTGATTTTAAATGAAATTTGATAATATTTCATGATAGCCAATATTCTATAATTATTTGACCAAAGTGATTTTTGGGATATTATGTTCATGTTTAAATTCTTAAGTATATAGTCATAAATTCCATATAATTTAGGGTTTATTTAACGTCTTTTAAGTTACAATATATTTTACGTCTTTAAGCAAGAGAATATGTTGTTGAACGATGTCCAAACTTTTAAATTGACGTGAGACTTAATTCGCATCTTAATAAAACAAAACGATGCTTAAATGAATAAAAACTTCAATAAACCGACCCTTTTTTTTAATCGCTTATTTTACAAGCATGCCTTCATCGATGTGCAATAAAATCAAAGCGTTTTTCAATCAAATATGGAGATTCTTCCATGGGGTTTGAAGTTACTAATAATAATACAATCAAATTAATGCAAATATCAAACTTTGAAGCCCCTTCAAGCAAATTTAGGCTTTGCCTTTTAGCCCATTAAATTTTCAATATTATCATAAAGCCCCCCTTGAAAAAAAAAAAAAAAAAAAAAAGTGGGTTCGTTTAGTGTGGAGAACATTTTTGCTTGAATTTTAAGCATGTTTTTTTTTTTTTAATTTTTTTTTTTAAAAAAAGAATAATTCCTACTCTTTTAAAATGAATATATTCCTTTGCTTTTTATCTAGTCTCTCTAGATTTGCCATGTACGGCTGACTAATCATCTACTGGGGCTGAGAAAATCTTTGTTGTAGAATATTTTTATGCCCTAATTACCCCTAGAATTGTATGCAATTTACATGTCTTGAGAGTTTGTAAATTTTATGATTGCTTAATTGTTAAGAAACTAGCATTAGGGTCAAGGTCGGGTTCGGGGTAACGGATAAGCAAGAAGCTCGAGAATCTATCGTCTTCGAGCATATCGTAAACCTATTTTGAGAAGCTTCTTAAACTGTCTTAAAACTTGACTGATGCTTTGTTTTTTCTTCTACATTTGATTAGGAAAGCATGAAAACAGATAAGGTCACAATGAATAGCATCAAACCACTATGAACTTGAACAACTCTTTGAACTTACTGCTGAATAGGCTTTATAGGCCAAGCCCATTGTTTGTAGCTTAAGGCTACTTGCAGCACTCAGCTCATCAGTTGCCGTCCATATTCCCCAAACAAACGTATTTCAGCTGCAATAATGTTATTCAGAGAATGAACCAAAAGCTTATTACTTTTCACAAGCAGATCAGTGTCGATAGCTTCGTACGTTTGCAAAATTAAGCTTATAAACGCTACTTCTATAGTTTTGTTTGTCTTGTAATCTACTTTTTATGAAGGTTTCTATGTAATTTTTAAAAACTTGTTTTGTTGTTTAAATTTAGTTAAAAGAATTCAATGTTTCCCTACGAAATGAAAGTGGAAATCAAGAAATGGGAGAGAAAACCGGTATAATTTTTAGAAACTTGTTTAAAATTGTGAGATCTCACGTTGGTTGGAGAGGGAAACAAACCATTCTGTATAAGGGTGTGGAAACCTCTATCGTTTTAAAATCTTGAAGGGAAGCTTGGAAGGGAAAGCCCAAAGAGGACAATATTTGTCAACGGTGAGCTTGGGCTGTTACAAATGATATTAGAGCCATACATCGAATGGTGTGCGAGCAAGGACGCTGGCTCCCAAGAGAGGTGGATCGTAAGATCTCACATTAGTTGGAGAGGGGAGTGAAACATTCCTTATAGGAGTGTGGAAACCTCTCCCTAATAGACGTATTTTAAAATCGGGAAGAGAAGGCCCAAGCAGGACAATATCTGCTAACGGTGAGATTGGGCTATTACAAATGGTATGAAAGCCAGACACTAAATGGTGTGCCAGCGAGGATGTTGACCTCTCAAGAGGGGTGGATTGTGAGATCTCATATTGGTTGGAGAGGGAAACGAAACATTCCTTATAAGGGTATGAAAACCTCTTTCTAGTAGACAAGTTTTAAAATCTTGAGGGGAAGCCCAGGAGGGAAGGCCTAAAGAAGACAATATCTAGTAACGGTGGGTTTGGGCTATTACAAATGGTATCAAAGCCAAACACCGAATGGTGTGCCAGTGAGGATGTTGGGCCCTCAAGAGGGGTGAATTGTGAGATTTCACATTGGTTGGAGAGAGGAACGAAAAATTCCTTATATGGGTATGAAAACCTCTTCCTAGTAGACGAGTTTTAAAATCTTGAGGGGAATCCCAGAAAAGGCCCATAGAAGACAATATCTACTAACGGTGGGCTTAGGTTATTATAAATAGTATAAGAGCCAAACACCGATAGTTGAATAAGCATAAGAAAGATTGGATAATGCAAGTAATACCTCAAGATAATCGTCCATCCCATATTTGGATCCTTCCCGACCAAGGCCCGACTGTTTAATGCCACCAAATGGAGCCACCTGCAGTAAGACATAAGGGGATGTCATAACCCACTCTACATTTACTCTAATAAAAAATGTACCACCTCCACATAGGCTTACCTCTGTAGCAATTAGGCTTTCATTAACACCAACCATTCCATATTCAAGAGCTTCAGCCATTCTCCATGAACGTTGAATATTATTTGTGTATACGCATGCAGCTAATCCTGTAAGAAATAATCACAATTTAGGGAACTGATAGCCTAAAAACCTCTAGGAAACACAATTTATTGAGGGTGGTCAATGGATAGGCGCTACAGCAATACCTGCATTGGCGTCATTAGCCAGACCAATTGCTTCCTCCTCTGTTCTGAATGGCAGTAAGGGTGCCACCGGACCGAATACTTCCTCCCTGATATTAAATAGAACCCATTCAAAGATATAGACGCGAATTGAGCATTGGAACTCCACAATAGTATGATACTGTCCACTTTGAGCATAAGCTCTCATGGCTTTGCTTTGGAGTTTCCCCCAAGTGTCCACAAAATACACCTTTTGTTCGACACTTGAGTCACTTTTTTGGCTAGCAACTTCTTAATCGACACTTGAAGATTCTATTGACATGACTAAGTTAAGAGAATAACTCTGATACCATGTTAAGAATCACGACCCTCCACAATGGTATGATATTGTCCACTTTGAGCATAAACTCTCGTGGCTTTGCTTTTGGTTTCCCCAAAAGTTCTCGTACCAATGGAGATAATATTGCTTACTTATAAACCCGTGATCTTCCCTTTAATTAGCCAACTCCAAATTGTTTAAGGACATAAAATGCAACGTTAATACCTGAATAAAAGCATATCACTATTCACGTCAGCAATGACGGTAGGTTCAAAAAATGTCATCCCAAGGCTGTGTCTTTTACCGCCTAGAACAACTTTTGCTCCCTTCAGAAATGAGAGAGAAAATGTAAGAAGGAATATTGACTAAACGTTTATATTAATGACTTCAGATATGTACAGTAGAGTATTATATATGGTTTCAGTTTACTATATATAGCTTTATCAGATATAACCACCTACTATAACACCATAGTCATAAACAAACCTTCGTGATGGCATCTCGAAGAAATTTCTCAACCTGTCGGGAAAAGGTCCACATGCATCAATGCAGCTCAAATTAATTGATGCAATAATGCAGATTTGATGGTTAACATGATGAAAACAAAACAAACCTTCTGCACGGCAGCTTCATTAATCAAAGGACCCTGAAAAAACTAATACCGAATAAATAGAAAAAGAAAGAATCGAAAATCGGCTGGCTTACCGAAAATGTGCTTCAAACTCTTTTTGCTTACCGAAATACGAACAAAAACGTCGTGACAATAACGACTATGTTTAAATGGAAAGTTCGGTTGATTAAATTACCTGAGCTACACCTTCACCAAACCCATCACCAACTTGCAGATCTTGCGCAGCTTTTGAGAAAGCATTACAAAATTTCTCATATATGCCTGAAGGAAAGAACATGATTCAAACATCAATATACATTTCCCTCCAATGTGATTCAAACATCATGTCAATACCTTGTTGAACAAGAATCCTATTGGCAGAAACACAAGTCTGTCCACTGTTCCGAAACTTCGATGCAATCTGAAAGATCAAAGCGAGATAAGTTCGCACTTGTATGGATAAGAAGCTCGTGGAATTGACGTAACGAGGTGGTGGCGATGGCTATATTTCTAGGACCGAACTCAAACATATTATATTAATAACCAATAATGTCACTTACAACTCCTTTTACTGCAACATCCACATCTGCATCATCAAAGACTATGTGAGGTGCATTGCCCCCAAGTTCCAAGGACACCTACAAAACAGAAACGAGTATCAAAAACCACTTATGTTTCTTCAAATCTCCATTGCCTGAAATATTGCTTGCACTTTAGTAACTGTGAGTACCCTTTTAACAGTCCCAGCAGCTCCAGCCATCAATTTTTTTCCAACTGCTGTTGAGCCAGTAAACGTGATTTTTCTAACCTGCACAGGTCGGATAAAACATAAGATTGAAGCAATAGCACCATACTGTAAAGAAATATCGTTGTGTTAATAATTGTAAGGAACCTGTGTACTTGCAAGTATAGCATCCCCAATAGCAGGAGCATCTCCCATAACCACATTCACTACACCCTACACATTAGAATATCAACCAGTAGACATGTATAAGAAACAGAAAATTGCACCCAGTATTGAGTTGCAAACCGAAGATTATAGAGACAAATAAAAAACTCCACTGCTAGCGGATATTGTTCTCTTTCGGCTTTTCCCTCGAGGTTTTTAAAACGTGTTTGCTAGGGAGAGGTTTCCATACCCTTATAATGAATGTTTCGTTCTTCTCCCTACCGATGTGGGATCTCGCAATCCATCTCCCTTCGAGGCACAGAGTTCTTGTTGGCACACCGCCTCGTGTCCACCCCATTTGGGACTCAGTCTCCTTGCTAGCACATCGTTCTGTGTCTGGCTTTGATACCATTTGTAATGGTCCAAGCCCACCGCTAACAAATATTGTCCTCTTTGAGCTTTCCCTTCAAGGTTTTTAAAACGTGTTTGCTAAGAAGAGGTTTCCACATCCTTATAAAGAATATTTCGTTCTCCTCCCTAACCGATGTGGGATCTCGCAATCCACCCCCTTTCAGGGTCTAGCGTTCTTGTTGGCACACCGCCTTGTGTCCACCCCCCTTCGAAGTCTCTTTGCTGGTACATTGCTCTGTGTCTGCTCTGATACTATTTGTAATGGTTCAAGCCCACCGTTAACAAACATTGTCCTTTTTGGGTTTTCCCCTCAAGGTTTTTGAAACTCGTTTGTTAGGGAGAGGTTTCCACACCCTTATAAAGAATGTTTCGTTCTCCTCTCCAACTAATGTGGGATCTTGCAATCCACCCCCCTTCAGGGTCCAGCGTTCTTGTGGCACACCGCCTCGTGTCCACCCCCTTCAAGACTCAGTCTCCTTGCAGGCACATCGCACTATGTCTGGCTCTAATACCATTTATAATGATCCAAGCCCACCGCTAACAAATATTGTCCTCTTTCGGCTTTCCCTTTCAGGCTTCCCTCAAGGTTTTTAAAACGCATCTACTAGGGAGAGGTTTCCACACCTTAATAAACAATGTTTCGTTTTCCTCCCCAATCGACGTGGGATCTCACATATTCTGGCCAAGCTAACGAAAACACAACCTACTAAAAGTAATTTATGAATAAAACAACCAAATGCCAAGACTATCAGAAAAACAGGGTACAAAGTCAAATTCTATTAATGTTACCAATATAAATGCATAAGGATACTTTCAAAAACGAATCAAAGGGAAAACATCTTCATTAATAATTACCGGAGGAATTCCAGCTTGCAGTGAGAGCTCAGCTGCTGCTAAAGCCGTCAAGGGAGTAAGTTCAGAGGGTTTTATGACCACCGTACAACCACATGCAAGAGCAGGTGCAACCTGACATGAAGAAGGGGTATCAGATAATACAGCATAGTAAACAATTGAACACAAATGCTCATGAAGGGAACTAACCTTCCGTGTAATCATAGCCAACGGGAAGTTCCAAGGAGTAATAACACCAACAACTCCAACAGGCTGCAAAAGTGTAACAGTTTGTGAAAAAACTATGCTACTGAATATTCCAAGGGGTAAGCATTGAACTGTTATTTGACCTGTTTCAACACAAAAAGTCGACGATCAGCTATAGTTGGTGAGATTATGTCACCGTACACTCGTTTGGCTTCCTCGGAAAAGAACTCAAGGAAGCTGGCTCCGTAGTTTATCTGTATGGTGATTTGGAAGATGTATGTTAAAGGAACAAAGTGATGGCACATGAAATTCTGACGATTACTGGAGTGAACCATATGATACCTCACCCACTGATTCCTTTAATGGTTTGCCTTGCTCTAAGGTTATCAACTGTCCAATCTGTTCTTTGTGGGTAGTTAGAAGCTGGTACCTTCATAAGAATGGCAAGTAATATCAAAAGTGCTCAATATTGTTGCCTCTGCTACTCTTTATATAGCCTTCTCTTACTCAAAGGCTATTGCCTCTGCTACTCAGAGCACAAAAGGGTATGCATGATTCGTTTTCTCATAATATGCAATTGGAAATAAAAAGGAAAAGTAATAAATGAACATAGAAATACAAATGAATAAGTTGATACCATTTACGTAAGCGATTACTCCGATCAGCTGCAGTGAGCTTGCTCCAAGCTTTAAGGTGAATTGTGGTAGATGGATCAAGTTAGTGAATAATTTTTTTTTACAAAAACAACTATCATTGACCAAATTAACATCGTTCCCTAAATTAGCCAACGTAGGATTCACTCCGAACAATCCTCCTCTCGAACAAAGTAGAACACTATAAGCCTCCCCTTAATCAAGACTCGACTCCTTTCTCTGGAGCCCTCGAACAAAGTACACCCTTTGTTCGATATTTGAGGATCATATTATCATGGTTAAATTTAGGGCATGGCTTTGATACCATGTTAGGAATCACGACTCTCTACAATGGTATGATATTGTCCACTTTGAGTATAAGTTCTCGTTGCTTTGCTATGGGCTTCTTCAAAAGGCCTCATGCCAATGGAAATGTATTCCTTTACTTATAAACTCATGATCATTCCCTAAATTAGCCAATGTGGGACTAATTCCCAACAATCCCCTAACGTACGGATCGAAAAACTGGTTCAACATTTCAACCTAACATTGTAACTAATATCCTTGCACGTATAAGCTTTTATTAAAAACCAAAATGAAACCTACACTTGAAAGCATCATAAGCTGAAGTAATAGCATCATCTGTCTCCCTTTTGCTCATGAGAGGGACATTGGCTATAACTTCACCATTTGCTGGATTATGAACCTGCAACATAACGATGAAATTTCTCGTTAGTCTGAAACCTAATCCTCAGCAAATATAAGGGAACGAATCAGCCCATTCCTGAGCAAATAAAAAAAAAAAAAAAAAAAAAAAAAAA